CTCTCTCTCTCTCTCTCTCTCTCTCTCTCTCTCTCTCTCTCTCTCTCTCTCTCTCTCTCGCGGTCGTTTAGTCGCTCTTCTCTTCCACCCGTTCGATTCCTGCCTTCCTCAGTCATCTGTTTAGTAAGCGTGCTCCTGGTTCACAGCACAAAAACACTGACCCACTACCGGTAGGTGCGGGTTTATTCCTGGTCTGCATACAGCATCGTAGACCCCAACCACTACCGTAGTGCTAGCTGGTTTATCCCTGGTTTAGGACATGAGAGACCTGCCCCCTACTGGCAGCTGGTTTCTTTGGAGAGCTGACAAGGCGTACACTGGGCAGTTGGTCCGTCGCATAGGGTGCCAAGCAAGCCCAGGTATTATCAGACCCCTTTCCTGGCTTGGAGCGTGTGCGGCCGTCTTCTCTTTCCCATGGCGCCGCCGTCTTCATCTTCGATGGTAGAACCGCATACTTACTCTTCTCTTCTCTTTCCCATGGAGGGACCATCCGAGCAAGCGAGCTTGAACCGCTTCTGGTGGGGCTTGATACCCCCCCCGGCAAGTCTACGGAGGTCGCGTACGGGGCATGCTGAACCCGCTGCTCCCCAGACTGAGCCATTCTTCCTCTTGGCTTTGCCTTCCCTTCCTTCTCCCAAGGTGCTTTTGCATGTGGCGGCCGACTCTCGTATACGGCCGGGTCACTCTCCGTCGCGTACGGAGCGATCATCACGGTAGGTGTCGCTATCGCGGTCGCGGTCGCGGCTGCGGCTGCCGCCATCTCTTCGTTCGCCAGCTTGCTCACCACCTACCTCTCTCTCTCTCTTTCTCTCTCTCTCTCTCTCTCTCTCTCTCTCTCTCTCTCTCTCTCTCTCTCTCTCTCTCTCTCTCTCTCTCTCTCTACGTTCGTACTTCAGTGAATCTGTTGTCGAGTCTCTGAATGTGATAATAATGTGGTTCGTTTGTTCAAGCTTCAATGCTCTCTCTCTCTCTCTCTCTCTCTCTCTCTCTCTCTCTCTCTCTCTCTCTCTCTCTCTCTCTCTTGTGTATACGCTTTCTCGATGCAGCGAAAAGTTGATGTCGAGTCACTGAATGTGATGGTAATGGGGTTCTTGTAGTTCAAGCTCCGCAGTGGTCTTGATCTGAGCACTGAGCAGACAGATCACCTTTATTCAAGTTGGAACGAAAGAAGAGGAAGTAAGAAACCACGCAACCGGGCTGTTGATAGCCCGGCAGCCCGGTGACAGAGAGCCTGCCGAACACTTACAAGAAGTTCTATTTATAGATCCATAATAGATGATGAATGACGACCAGTCGTCAACGAGCGTTCTTGCGGACCTGCAGCAATCCACCACCCCCCTCTTCTTCCCTCCGCGCCGTCTTCTTTTTCGTTGCCGTCAATCCGCCTTAGCCTCCCGTCCTCTTCTCTCCTCCACCTTCGGCATCTCCATCAACGTGTTACACGTGGCGCGCGCTGAGACCACGACATGCTGCCGCACTACGGCTGTCAGTCAACGCATAGCTGCGCTGACTCCAGCTTTGACTGCAGCGTTGCCAGGGCTTGCCACTGTAACAAGTCCCCTCCTTGTCGCAACCACTTTGAAATTCTCTTCACCTCCCGCGTGCCGCCCAATTTGAATTTTCAATCCTTTTCCCGCCATATCAGCCGGATTCATATCCTTTTCCCGCCATCGCACCACAAAACCTCCCTTTCTGAACCCACTACCGCCAGAATTCAAGTCCCTTTCCTCTCTCCACCAGAGCCGTATACCTTTCCCGCCAATTTTCACGTGGAGCCGTATACCTTTCCCGCCAATTGTCACGTGCCTGTTGGACGCCAAGTTCGCTTAAGCTTGAACCCTTCGCTTAGCTTGACACCATGCTGCTGACGCTGGAGTCAGGGTGTATGACATCGGTGTGATAAAGATTAATCCCGAGCCCGACGCTAATCCCGAGGCTGATCGCGACGCTCATCACGATGGCGATGATGAACGACCTGATGATGCCCTCAGACTTCTACTGCACTCTGCTTTCTGAATTCACATTTTCCCGCCATTGTGTTGTGCATTTTCCCATTTCAGTTAGCTGTCGAACGCGGGGCTTGTCTTTTTGCCCTGAAAACACCAGAAACCGCCCAAATGATCAGGCAACAAAAGCGACCCAGCCAAGCGTCAAGATCCAGGAGCGTGGCTGGGCCACTTCCCGGGGCAAGGTCCCACTTGCACGGATTAAGAGATTCTGGCCGTTGATCTCTGCTATCCACGGTCAATATCGCTTAATTCGTGTAAGTGGGACCTAGCCCCCGGACACCGTTTGCTACCCGCGCTTCCGCTTGTCTCGAATATTTCGATCGATTCACCTGCCGTCCCGAATATTTCGGGAGACCCAGCGGGACGGTAAGCGCCCCGAGGACCCCGAGGACGGATATCCGACCAGAGTAGACCTGGGCCTTGATAAGCACGACGGTTTGGGGAAAGCCGCCTGAACCACAGGGATACGCAGGAAGCTGCCTGACCGCGGGACCTCAGCCCTGAAGGCCTTGTGTGTGTGTGAGAAACTTTCCTTTTTTTTGTTTTTTTTCCTAAAATCGAGAAACTTTTCGAAATGCCCCTGAAGTTCGCGTTTATTTGCGGCGTGCCCCTCTGACAACCAACTTGCCTTGTGGCGCCCCTCTGACGACGAATGATGTTTCGAGAAAACCCCTGGCGTCGTTTGGCCCTGAAGTATGTTTCATATGCCCCTACCGGTACCAGTACCAAATTTTCGGTATGCTCCTACCGGATGGCCGTTGAGAACCAGCACAAAAGTTTCCCATATGCCCTTATTGGTACCGTCCATCTTTCCAGCGAGCCCCTGTGGCCATTGATGACACTCGCGGTCTTTCCCCTGGCCCCGGAAGAGATGCTACTGGGGCATATCAGAAATTTGGCGATGAGCATGGACACACACACACACACACACACACACACACACACACACACACACACACACA